TTCCAGAGCATCTCAGAAACCCCAGCCAAACTTTCCGAGTCCAGAGTACATGATATTTGATCATGAGTTTACAAAGCTGGTGAAAGAACTTGAAGGTAAGATACGAAAGTTTTTTCTGAGCCAACATCATTGTGTGTACGTGCATGCGTGCATGTGTTTCGGGTTGCCCATGAGTGATAAGCCAGGAAATTCATCTGCAGCACACAGAAAGACTTTGGATTCTTAAAGATTAGAAAGAGTATTGCATGACTGTCTTGACTTAGGCTATTTTTACTCATTAAATCCTAAAAATTAAGTCATGTTTGTAGTGCTTAAAATCAAACTGGGAGTAAATAGGTGAGTGGTAAAGCATGTACTTCAGCACGTGAAGCCCTGTATTCAGTCTGCAGAACCTCAAGAAAACCATTTAGTGCAGTTTATGTAGAGGAATTTTAATCCACATGGCTGCTGGCAAGAGATCACATCCAAAGACCACCTAGGTCTCTGCAGACATGCCCTGGATTACAGTATGGTCTTGTTGGGAAACAGACACACACTTAGTACACATCCTTAATTCCAAACGATGATGTCTAATTGAGGGATAGACACAATGGCAAATCAGAGAAAGATTTGACAGAATGAGTCAGAGCTAGGATACACCCAACTCTCATCAAAGGAAAGAGAGGCTACATTAAGAGCAGAGAGAGGTGGAGTAGAGTTCAGTTGAGTCTGTGCAGTTCAGTTGAATGCAGTTGAGTTCTGTTTGGTTGGTACAGTCAGTGCAATTGAATTCATGGAGTTCAGAGGCAGGTTTTTCAAGCACAGCAATTCAGTCAGAAGCCGAGAGATTCCAGTTTGAATCAATCAGCTTGGAGAGGTGTTTTAGCCAGAACAGCTATGTTGAACCAACTAGCAAGAGTTCAGAAAGAGCTAGACAGGGTGAGTTTATTCAGCAGTAAGTTTGAGATGCTGAAACATTCTAGGCCCAGGTTAGCAGATGGAGGCTAGAAGCTGAAGCCTTCAAGGTCCAGGCTTGCAGAAGATGAGATTGTATGGATGCTAGAAACTTCCAGGCCTAGGTCTAGGGATAGTTAGTACAGAGGAAGAAATGCTCTGAGCTCAGCCTAAGCCTTGTATTTGTACAGCTTGGGTAGGCTCTCATCTCATCCCTATGAGGAAATAAAAGCCACATTTACATTTACAGTTTAAATATGTTTTGTTTTACAGGTGTTATTACCAAGGCTATTTATAAGTCTAGCGAAGAAGATAAGAAAGAGGAAGAGGTAAAGAAAACCTTAGAACAGCATGATAATATTGTGACTCACTATAAGAATATGATCCGTGAGCAAGTAAGTACCAACAAATTGTCCTCTCCTGACTGGAATCAACTCTGCTTGAGGGAAGTCTGCTTCTTGGCATTTCAAATGGATGAGGGATACAGAAAGTAAACTTCATTGTTTTCAAATGCATCTGTGTATTAAATTGAGGGACTTGCTTTGTGTTAGGCACTGTGCAAGATGCTATAGATCATGGATCAGATAGAGTCTGTTGTTGGAGTCAGGGTGAGACAGATATCTAAGTGATTGTGGCATGTATGTTATACTGTAATTAAGCCTAGTGCTAGAGCTAATCAAAGGTGTAGCAGCACTCAGGCTGAGCTCTGAGAGAGCCTAGGAATACACTCTCCATAAGAGAGCCAAGGAAGAGCGGCTCTCAGGAGATTGCATACAGCACAGTTAGTCTGTTGTGGCTGCCATGAACCTAGAGCAGCTTCTGGCTGTGTGAAGGAGACATTTGGTGGGAAAGCCAGGAAGGAGATCATTGTGGTGGGTCAGCTAGGGGAGGATGTTGGTGACAGTCATGACAATGATGATAGTGTCTACCTCGTGTTTGCTGTGTTCTGTGAACTCATGTCTTTTTTTAAAGATTTATTTATTTATTTATTCATTTATTTAATGTGTATGTATGCTCTATCTGCATGCACACTTGCATGCCAGAAGAGGGCATCAGATCACATTATAGGTGGTTGTAAGCGACCATATGGTTGCTGGGAATTGAACTCAGGACCTCTGGAAGGGCAGTTGATGAGCTGAGCCATCTGGACCATTCAACCATCTCTCCAGCTCTCAGTGTCTCTTACTTCACAGCATCCCTACAAGTAGTGACTAACTGTATTCAGTTTAGGATAAATGGGAAGTCTATGCCTTTAATGAATTCTCCCAGCATCTCCTAGTAACTGTTAGAAGAGAATGGCAGGGACAGACTTGAGAAGTGTGGGAACTGAAGATAAAAGTTGTGGGACTTGGTAATGTTTCTCTACAGGTATCAAAGTGCAGAAAGAGTGTGATCCCCAGATTTCTGTCTTGGGTGGTTGAGTACGATTGTGGTAGACAGGCAGTTCCATAGAGAAGGTGATGAGTTAGACCAGAACTCTTGTTTTCAGTGTTATTAGTTGATGCTTTCCTTTCATAATGCTAGTCATTGTCCTTTACATGCCTTGTATTGTGCACCTTAATCCCTGTTGCATCCTTTAAAATGTCATTCAATTTCTTATCATGGTATATACTGTGATAGAATTTTGTAAAGGATTGTATAGTATTATCTGAAAAATTAGATTACTGATGTCATTAAAATTCTAATGTTGTAAAGGAAATGTAACAGCATATATGGGGTATGTTTACCTTTCTACATGTATGCTATTTTTTTCTTCCTCACAATATTTATTATTGAGATTGAAAATTTACAAGTGATAATAGAGCCGGGCGGTGGTGGCGCACACCTTTAATCCCAGCACTTGGGAGGCAGAGACAGGCAGATTTCTGAGTTTGAGGCCAGCCTGGTCTACAGAGTGAGTTCCTGGACAGCCAGGACTACACAGAGAAACCCTGTCTCAAAAAACCAAAAAAAAAAAAAAAAAGTGATAATAGAATTCTTGGAGTTTGTCCTCAACGTTTCAATGTCCAGCCAAATCAATAAACTAAAATCAGTCAGTATCTCTGTTCAAAATTTGAGTCATTAAACTGCCTCAGTTATGGATTTTTAATCTATGTCTTGGTTCAAATACAGCTGTTTTTAGTTTATGAATATAGTATTTTTGCAATATGGCGTGTACCTTACATCTGAGTCCGATAAGTACAGTTGGTTTAGAAAGAGGAAAGGGTTCTGACATAATTACTGACTTATTTGTAAAATGTTGATTTTATACATTCTCACAACTTAAATCCTATCAGATAATAAACATCTGAAACTATAAAAATGCTTATATCATTTGAATGACATTTGAGAATTCATCCTTAAGGAAATTCTCCAAAATTCAAGAAAATTTGTTAAATGAATATTTATCATTTTGAAAAGTGGAAATTGACTTTAGTGTTAAAAAAACATTCAATATAATTTATATCTACTTGATCAGATGTTGAATGAGAATTAAAATTTATGGCCTTATGGCTGAAAAGATAACTCACAAAGAGCAGAGTTGGGATCTTAGCAGACACATGACTCACCAGGTGCTCAGGGCTCCTGTAACCCAGCTTTGAGCAAAACAGAGTTGCTAGGACTTGTGGGCTGTCAGCCTAGCCAAGAAGACATGAGCCATAGGTTCTGGGAAAGACTGTCTCAGAGGAATAGGCAAAATGTGACAGAGGAGGACACTGGGGCCCTCTTGGCTTCCATGTGCACACACACAGGCACACATGTGTGCTTGAACACACATACAAACACAAATATAGTTTTTAAAACTTATGATTATGGAAGCTGTATAGTAGTGTGGACAATTAGTGAGCTATCCAAATGTTCTAAGTTTGTATAGGAACTGACTATCACAAGTTTAGAAAACATGCTAGACCCTGCTTGGAGCCAGATTTCTTCTTTTTTTAAATTATTTTTATTTTAATTATGTGTTATGTGTCTGTATGTGGTTATGTGCACATGAATGCAGGTGTCCATAAAGGCCAGAAGTGTCAGATTTTTCTGACATGCTCAGAAGATAGAGTCAATTTGTACAAATTCTCCTCTGACTTCTACTCATGTGCCCATGCACTTAAAACAAGTAACTGTGACAAATTTAAATAATATAGCTGCATACATGTATCTTCATTTACTAACTTTTCTACGTAGTTTGGTATATATTTTTTAAATGGTTTTGTGGCCCCAAAGTGAGTGAGGAGCAGGCTGTGCTGTGGTACTAGCCCACTCGCTCGCCAGCAGAGCCCTGCTTGAAACCTCTACATGATGATCAGCTTTGTACATGTTCAAGTCCTAATGCTTCACCGTTGATTTTGGACGTATTGAGTGTTTTAACATACTGATTTTTTTAAAGCCCATGTATTTTATTGTACCTGTTGTATGTAGTGAGAACATCTGACTTGTGTCTGTTTCGCAGGACCTACAACTGGAGGAGCTGAAACAGCAAGTCTCCACACTGAAGTGTCAGAACGAGCAGCTGCAGACAGCAGTCACCCAGCAGGCATCTCAGATTCAGCAGCACAAGGATCAGTACAATCTCCTCAAAGTTCAGCTCGGTGAGTGTCTGAGTCACTCTGTCCTCAGGAGCTGGACAGAGAGATTTTCTGTGGACTGATTGTTCTCAACCATGATCACTGTGACTAATACTTAAATTAGCACTTAGTGCAGGATGGTAAGTAGCTAAGAGCAGATCATTCCAATATAAAGTCCAGTCTGTATTTTCCTGCTTGATTGGCTGATCCAGTGATTGCTGACCCTGGTAACACACTACGTTTTGATTCATTACAAGCTCCCCAGATAATATATCCTATAGGTTATTTGAGATTGACTGATAACAGTATTTCAATTGCTTCAATTCCAGAGTTGAAATAATAGCATCCATGTCATCTGAAAATTAAATGAAATAATAGATATGTAAAACTCTAATTTAGTCTCAGGTAGACAGGTAAGAATTCACATTCCTCCGTTTTAAAGGGCTGTTTTCTCAGCTGTTATTGTTGTCAGTGTTTGTCCATGGGCATTTGGGTACTGCTGGGTCTGGACCTGACCTGGTAAGCTCTTCTTTTCTTGGTGGAGACTGGGCATGTACTCCTGCTCCCCATTATGTATGAGGCAGAAGGAAAGGGCCTTCGTAGCACCATGTCTTCAGTGCCTGTGCCTGTGGCCTCCTGACCACCGGCTCTATCCCTCAGGTCTAGGATACCAGGAGGGAAAAAAGGATTCCCGTTCCTGTCACTCTCTTTCTGTGTGCTGGGGCTCCAACCTTGGACTTTGTGTGTGGGGGAGTGGTGCTGTACGGTAAGCCACACTGCCACACCACGTGTTTGCAGGGAGCATTGTCTTGCAGGCCTGTCATGATAATGCCAGGTACTGAAGAGTAGGAAGTTGATTTCTGTGAGGGAAACTAACATTTTTCAGAAACATTTTTTTTTTTTGGGGGGGGGAGGGGTTGAGACAGGGTTTCTCTGTGTAGCCCTGGCTGTCCTGGAACTCACTCTGAAGACCAGGCTGGCCTCGAACTCAGAAATCCGCCTGCCTCTGCCTCCCAAGTGCTGGAATTAAAGGCGTGCGCCACCACTGCCCAGCCAAATTTTTCTTTCTTTATGACAATCATTTTTTTGTTAGTTAACCCATGTGGATAGCTGTTCCTCTGGGAAGCTTTTTTTTTTTTTAATGGATTTGACTTCACTTATTGTCAGAATTGGAATTAAAGTTGCTGTAATTCGTAGTCATAATCACCAAACCATACCATTTAATCAGGACCCTTGAACCAGTCAGCACCCTCTGCCATCAGGAGTGCCCTGCTAGTTTCCCAGTTAAGGAGACATTCTCTGGGGTCTTAGATGATCTTGTATTGTAGTCTTCTAGTCCCGAGGATGAAAAGCTTGATTCGTGCCAGCTTTCCCCAGTGTTGTAATGTTTAACAGGAAAAGACAATCACCATCAAGGCTCTCACAGTGACGGGGCTCAGGTGAATGGCATTCAGCCAGAAGAAATCAGTCGGCTGAGGGAAGAAATAGAAGAGTTAAAAAGTCATCAGGCGCTCTTACAAAGCCAGCTAGCTGAAAAGGATTCATTGATTGAAAATTTGGTAAGTAAATGTTAAAAAAGAAATGTAAATAAGTGACCAAAAGTAATTCTCATCACCTTCCTTGTTGGTTTTTCTGGGTTTGTTTATTTGTTTTCTTTTTTTAAAGATATATTTGTTTATTTAATGTATGTGAGTACACTGTCACTGTCTTCAGACACAACAGAAGAGGGCATCAAATCCCTTTACAGATGGTTGTGAGCCACCATGTGGCTGCTGGGAATTGAACTCAGGACCTCTGGAAGAGCAGTCAGGGCTCTTAACCTCTGAGCCATCTCTATTTGTCTCTATTTGTTTTGTTTTAAGACAGTCTTACACTGTAGCTCTGGCTGGTCTTGAACTGATTATGTAGATGAGACTGGCCTTGAACTCAGATTTTCTGAGAGCTGAATTGGAAGTTACATACCACTATAGCCAGCCTGGTGGTGGTGGTGGTGGTGTTTTTGACAGACTCAGCCATCTCAGGGTGATCTTGAATTCCTGATCCTCCTGCCTTTCTTTACCTTCCAAGTGCTGGGATCACAGATGTGTGCCCACATTCCTGGTTTGATGCTTCTAAACCCACTGTGTAGACCATGCTAGTCTTGAACTCACAGACCTCTGCCTGTCTCTGCATCATCTCGTTTTTTTCTCTTTAGACAGGGTCTCTTTATGTGCCCTGGTTTTCCTGGTACTTGCTGTGTGATCTGCTTGAACCACCACAGTCAGCTTGGTTTTTACTATTTATTTATTTATTTATTTATTTATTTTGGTTTTTCGAGACAGGGTTTCTCTCTGTAGCCCTGGCTGTCCTGGAACTCACTCTGTAGACCAGGCTGGCTTATTTATTTTCTTATTGATAGGAATTATTTCTTTTAATAATAGTGATAGTGTGGTTATAGAGACACTTGTTTATTTGTTTTTGTTTTGTTTGCAGTTAGTGTGTGTGTGTGTGTGTGTGTGTTGTGCAGACATGGGCATGGAAGCCACAGAGTGGAGGTCAAAGGACAGTTTTTAGGATTTGATGCTCTCCTTTGTGTGAGTCTCAGCACAACATCCCATTGGCAGGCATGATGGCTGGTGCCTTTACAGAGAGCCATCTCGATGTGCCTCATACTTAGCATGGTATACAAGTTCAAGTACATGTTTAGATTTCATGAATCACTTGGTATGAGTGTAACTTCTGAGGCTCTGGAGAGCTGTAGACATTGCTCTGTTGAAATCAAATCTTACGTATAAAAATTAAAGTCTTTATGTGCAACCCTTGGAGAGCTTCTGTGAGATTGGCTGTGAGTGTGAACCTCTGCTTTGACTCCCTTTCTTTCCAGGTTTAATTTCAGTTTATTTCTATGCTAATTGTAGAAATCTTTGCAAGCCTCTGGCATGAGTGAACAGGCTTCAGCAACATGTTCATCCAGAGATCCTGAGCAAGTTTTGGAGTTAAAACAGGTAATATTCTAGCTTGAGCCCAGTTCTGTTTTGTCTTGTTTCTGTTCCAGTAGAGTATCAACACCCTGAGCATTGTAAAAATTGTTTTAATTTTTTACATTTATTCATGTATTTATCTTGTGCTATAAATGTGTGTGTGTACACTGCTTGTGTTGTGAAGACCACAGCTGGAAGCCAGAACACAGCTGCAGGGAGTTGGGTCTCTCCCCCTACCATCCTAGGAGTGAATTCAGGGTCACCCATTTGAGCCATCTTGCTAGCCCAGCTTATTGTTTCAAAGTTTCCTTCTTTGCCTTTCTCTTCTCTGTCATCCTTCCTTCTTTCTGTATTATAAAGGAATGTATGGTTATTAGAAAAGAGAAATCAGAAACCACGCTGTGCTGCTGTGCTACCTAGAGTCCCATGCAGGAGTCAGCAGGCTCCCTCATGCACATGGCTGTCTGAGGCATGCCCACTGTGCCTGTGTCACCAATGTCCTTGCATCTTAAATCTGCAGAAATTTCTTTATTCTTATATTATGTGTTTCAGTGGTTTGTGTGTGGGTAGGAGGTTTTTGGTTTTGTTGTTGTTTTGAGTCAGGGTCTCTCTATGTAGCCCTGACTGTTCTATAACTTGTTATGTAGACCAGGCTGGCCTCAGACTTAGTTCCTCTTGCCTTTGCCGCCCAAGTGCTAGCATTAAAAGTATTAACCACTGTGCCTGGCAAATATATGAGTATTAAAATGATGACTTTATCTAGCAACATAGGGGTTTATGCATTATATTACATATTATAAAATATTGTATGTGGGTCTCCCCACTTTTGTGGATCATCGGCCGGACGGTCCACAAAGGATGTGTGTTTGGAAGCCCCATGAGTACTTATGGCGCATGACCACACTGGGACCAGCTTTCAGGATCCAGATCAACTTTACTTTGGGTGACTCAGGGTAATAAAGTTTTGGGGGATTGAGAGTAGGAACATCCAGGAGGGGCAAAGGTCATTGGGTGAGGGCTTTGGGAATCTTAGGTGCTGGCTGAACAGGTTCTTATCAGGAAAAAGGAAGTTGATCTTGTAATCTAGTTGAAGCTACATGACATCCCTCAGGTAGAGGCATATGTGGGGACTTAGAATTCCCCACAGAAGATCAGAGGAGCCAGGCAATGGTGGCGCAGGCCTTTAATCCCAGCACTTGGGAGGCAGAGACAGGCGGATTTCTGAGTTCGAGGCCAGCCTGGTCTACCGAGTGAGTTCCAGGACAGCCAGAGCTATACAGAGAAACCCTGTCTCGAAACCCCCCCCC